GGGGGGGGGGGTGAAGTACCTTCTTGGGACAGCATGCATGTGAAAAGGTCGGACTTGTGGAGCAAAAGCAAAAGATCTTAGCACCTCCCAACGCATTTGTAGCTGTGGCTTTCCCCATTTTTTTAAATTATAACACTACGTTAATTAATTAATTAATTAAGAAAGAACTAGCCACATACATACATTAATAAGAAATTAAAAAAGGAAGATTCCATGGTGCATCTCTTGTACGTACTAGTAATATTATATTATACTCCGATCCGTTCAAGAAAAATGTGTAGCCAGCCAGCCTTTTCAGTATCACCCACTTGCTGGATCTTGATTTTCCCAGAAAGTAGTTACTAATTTTTCAAGAAAAGTGCAGGAAATGGAAGTGGTTTTCAGGGAAGGGAGGTCATTGGAGGAAACTCCAACATGGTCTGTTGCAACAGTTACTACTGTTATGGTATTTGTTTGCCTTTTTGTCCAACGCTCCATTTACCGATTTGGAAAGGTCAGCACTAGTCAATGACTGAACACAACTCTCTCTATACTAATATTGTTCATTTGTTCTCTTTTAGTAAGCACACAATGGACAGTCTTTTCTTAATAAGTTTTGGGGTTGTGTTTATATATATATATATATATATATATATATATATATATATGCAGTGGTTGAAGAAGACCAGAAGGAAAGCTCTTTTTGCTTCTGTCGAGAAGATCAAGGAAGGTTAGCAATTGCTGCTTCTTTAAATTGTGTCATCTAAAAGCTTAAGTTGTTATAGATGACACAGTACTTTTATTTACTTAATTGTATCTTCAACATAAGCAACATTGGTGATTTGTTTCAATTGATTATTAATGGGACAGAGCTGATGCTGCTTGGGCTTATTTCTTTGTTGTTGGGACAATGCGCAAGGCAGATTTCTCAAATTTGTGTGGATTCATCCCTTTTCAGTAGTAAATTCTACCTTTGTTCTCAAGAAGATTATGACAGTGCGAGTGAGACAATCCATTTGTCGCGCTCCTCCATTTTCTCAAATGATACTGATATTCCTCCCAAGGGAATTTATCAACCATCACATCAATGTGGTGAGGTAAGTTGTTTTCTTGATTCATATTGCGCGCAAATGATGCTTTTTGTTACTGCACTAAAGACAATCTTAATTTTGTATTAATATCAGGGACGTGAACCTTTTGTCTCATATGAAGGACTTGAACAGCTCCACCGCTTCTTGTTTGTTCTCGGTATCACCCATGTCCTGTACAGTTGTATTGTTGTGGGCTTGGCCATGAGCAAGGTAGAGTTTCCATATCAAGCTTTTAATTCTAAATCGGGGTAGACATATTCTTGTATAGGATGTCTACCATCACAAGTGTACGCGGGATTTTGTGCAAGTGGTATCTGACCTCTGCATTATCACAACTCAACTTTGTATGTGAGTTTGGGGTCTGGGGCGGTAGATGTTCTAAGGTTTTACTTCTTGTATCAAATTGACTTTTTTTCTTTTCATTATTTTCAAATGGTGTCAGCCTATTATATATATACATGTTCTATTGAAAAGAAAGTATGATTTATATAATTTGTGAAGTTTTTCGTCTAAGTGATGTCGGATGATACCCCTATATATGTGAGGCAAAACAGCAGAGTTCATGCTCTTCCTTGTTTGTGCTTTTAAAATTGAGGCATGCAGGATTATTATTTTCTTCTGAATGAATTTGATTGTAGATCTACAGTTGGAGGAAGTGGGAAAACCAAGTGAGCTCTGGGGCAGAGAACAACTTACAAGGTACATGGAATTGAAGATAATAAACTATGTGCACACAATATAAATTCACCTTCTTCAATTTGATTGCACGAATTGTCTTAAATATTAAACATGTGCTCTGATCTTTTAGCATAGAGCTGAGCTTCTAAGCATTGTCTCTACATATCATTCTTTTATTATCTCTTTCTGATATTTTTAGTGCCAAAGAATAAGGAGATGAGGCGACAATCCACCTTCGCTCTGCATCATGCTTCTCATCCATGGAGTAGGAGTCGAATTCTTATATGGATGGTAATAGCTCTAGCCATTTTACAACAACACTATACTCTCTTTTGTAAGGTTTTGAGGAGGATCTTGATTTTTAACACAAGGAGGAAAATGATTGCCACCGAAAGGTTAATGAACTATAAATGGATTTGTAAACCACTAGACTTCTTATCAAGTTGTCGAAAATATTATCTTCTAGTCTAAAATTTCAATTTGTATTAGACTAAACTATTGTTACAGTCACAATTGTTCCCTTCACCCATGTTCAATTGATCCGTTGATTTGTTAAGACTACAGACTTGTCAGCCTCCCTTGCAAATAACAAAATTCCATACATTTTGTCTTCAATAATATTTTAGCAATTTGTTTTTAGATTTGCTCTGCATGTATATGACATGCATTTGTTTTGTAATCTTGCAGCTTTGCTTTCTAAGGCAGTTCAGGACTTCAATTCATAAGTCAGATTACTTGGCACTGAGATTGGGCTTTATCACTGTAGGTATTCAATTTCTTTTGGTACTTCCTTTAGATTATTCTTTCTCCTTATAAATATCTCAATTCGCCTGTGTATGAGGAGGGAAGGGAAGAGGCGAAATGCTCATTATCGTTTTACACAGCTAAAATTCGTCAACATCACCCTCGATGTGCTTAAGCAGCTACATTCAAATTGCCAGGTTTATTCTTAAGCAAGACGGCGGGATATCTTGAAAATGCTGTTGATGCTAAGCAATTAATCACTGAACACAAAATTGAATGCTCTCATTCTATTTATTTCCAAAGTTCACTATTTACCTGTAATGCCTGACCCTTGCTTCTATAACATGCAGAATCACAAGCTTCCGCTTACTTACAATTTCCATAAGTACATGGTTCGTAGCATGGAAGATGAATTTTATGAAATTGTAGGGATCAGGTATGTTTTGTTGTTGGTTTAGATCAATTTAGTTCATAATAGGTGGGAGGATATTTTGACTTAATCATTATTATACTTCAGTGTTATAACATCTGAAAAAAACTCGAGGTCCTCCTTGAGGGTCTGTTGTCATATATTTAAACGTTTCTACAAATGAGTGTTTTGATAGTTGAATATTTATGCTGACTTATTCTAGGACTTTGCAGCTGGATCCTTTGGGGTTATGCCATCATATGCATCTTCATCAACATTCATGGTAATGAAATTTTCTAATGTGAAAACATCAGTTTTAGTTGGCTTGTTGAAATTTCAGAACGATGTTTTATACATATATTGCAGGCCTTAATATCTACTTCTGGCTTTCTTTTATTCCTGCGATTGTAAGTCAGCCTCCCTTCTTTGGTCCGTTTCTAGTTGAATTAATATATGTATCTGATGCTCGACATTATATTGACTTGTGCCAAAGCTTGTCATGGTGGTTGGAACAAAACTACAGCATGTAGTCTCCGTGTTGGCACTTGAAATTGCAGAGCCTAAGGGTCCACTTACTAGAACACAAGTAAAGCCACGCGATGAATTGTTTTGGTTTGGCAAACCGAAGATACTATTACGATTAATACAGTTTATATCATTTCAGGTCAAATTCTCAATAGCTCTGGTGCTCCATCCACTGTTCAATGTTTATTTCATGCAAAACAGATGTAAATGATAAAAATAAATGTCCTAACGTCGATTGCTTTTTGTTCTGTACGCAGAATGCTTTTGAAATGGCAACATTTATCTGGTCCTTGGTGAGATTCATTAGCCTTTCTTCTTTTCTATTGTCCATGCATCATCTTCTTGTTTGAGATTAATACTTCTTCTTTAGGTCGACACATGAATTTTTTTGTCTTCTGCTAAAAATGAATGAATGTGGAGTGGATAATCAGTTGAAAGGAATTTATGCTACAAAATAACATCTACATGCTTCTTTAGTATCTTCCACTCTTGCAATAACTAGGACTCGATTGCACAGTTAGAGAACATAAAACAGATGTTGCATGAAAAGAGTAACACATGTTCCTTCCATGACAACATTTTGCTAAGTAAATGAACTTTGGATCTAACTAAACCTTAAAAGCTAGCTCATGAGATGATGATTGCCAAGACCATATGACGAGACAACAGCACATCCCTTGAACCAAAGTCGGACATTTAACGGTTCAATCATAGTAACCTTAAATTAGTTATTTAGTAAGACGGGATTCCCTTCAGGTTGTTGAGGATTCTTCCACTATGCTATCATTTTATCAATTTTTCATTTTCTTAATGCTTTAGAAATGAAAACAAAAAGGTCACTTTTCTCTCTGCAAACAAGTTCAGTTTGCACACTCTCTTCAACATAATATGCTCAAGTGAAAGACTGCCGCTTTTATTGATAGATATAGACATGAAAATAATGTCAGAAAACTAATATTTGCAGTTTTTGGAGGGCTACCTACTCATACAAGCTGCTCTTATTATCAAACCATGTATTTGTATTGTCTTAGAGGTTCTTCTCGCTCGAGAAGAATTTTTGTTCTTTTAGATTGATGATTCACTTCATAACAGCATTAATCCAATTGTGCAGTGGGGATTCGAGCAACGGGAGTGTTTCATGAAGAACCATGCGATGGTTGTTATCAGATTGATTTCAGGGTATGTAATGTACACTTCTACCACACTACCCCCTTCCTCCCATTTGAATTTATAATTAGTAGCCCGAATCCATTGTCTTATTTTCTATATTGATTTGTCCCAAAAAAGATTCTTTTAAAAGAAAGCAGGCTCGCAAGTACTTGTTAATACTTCTCTATGGAAGTAGTAATATGGAACCACTTTTGCATTTAATACAGTTCAAACTGTGAAGAACTTTACTCCAATATCCGCTTCTTGCCCATTCTTTTTTTCTTGAACGGTAAAAGTCTGGCTCGTTCTTGCCTTTTACCTTATTAAGTATTCTTCCTATCGCATAGCCATAGCTCCTGTAGTACTCTATTTTTGGTCATCCCTATCTCAGTTCTATCATAACTATCTTCATGGATCATGTCATTCTCCTATAAGATTGAGCCTAGTTATCTGAGCTGTTTGCACGTAGATACCATCTAATCTCACTTTCCCATCATTCTTCCCATGGGGGTAAACTTGCAGTGCATACTTGTACTTATCTTAAAACGGTTCGAAAGAACCTTTTAGAAGGCCTGCAATCGTCTTGCAACTGCATACCTATGTTTCTCATCTTCTATAAGTAGAGCTCATCCACCGATTCACTTTCTAGCACAGAACTGCGCCCCCTCCCCTCCTATCTTCTCTGATCAGAACTTACTCCATGTAACTAGTTCACTGAACAATGCATTACTGATTATTCTTAGTTGACATTGAGTGAATTACTTTTTTAAGGGGAATTTTAGTGAGAACCACTTAAATTAGCTGCTAAAATATTAGGAGCACAAGTGAGGAGCTACTAAATTTCGAGCCATCCAGCCTATATGTTGCTTGGTTAAGCCATCATTACCTGATTTTCAAGCCTGGACCAAGTCAATGGCCATCAAAACCCAAATAAATAATTGCTGAGTGTTGCATCAGAATAGTTATCAAGTCGAAGACTAATTATCTCACATATATCTTGGTTTTGCTACATGTACTGAAAAGATTGGATCCTTAGCAGATGTTTTTGGTACATAGAAGCTGCACTCGTTGAACATGATTTTCGTGCATTAAAATAGAAGATGCATAGCGGTTCTTTTATAACATGTAGTGTATGATGCATATTATTTGGTACTCAGAAAATGCACTCTTTGAACAGGGTTCTTGTGCAGTTCTGGTGTAGCCACAGCACTGTTCCTTTAAACGTAATTATCTCGCAGGTGATCCTTTTCTCTCTCTCACTTTTCATGCATTTACCTATCTTTTAATGCATTCCATGTGTTGCAGTGAACTTGAACTAGTCTTGGGATAGTGACATGGAGTCCTAAATGACCTTTAATTTGCATAAACTTTTGGTCACAGATGGGTTCGCGGTGTGGAAAGGCTCTCGTTGCTGAAAGTGTTCGAGAATCACTTCACAGTTGGTGTAAGAGAGTAAAGGACAAGTCTAAACGAGATGCTTTACGCTCTATCACTACAAGATCAACGTGTTCCCTAGGATCAACGATTGATGAGGGGGATGAGATAGCAACGGTAACTTTATCTCCATGTTCCTCTAGAGGCTCATTTCACCATCTAGATGAGAATGTCCTGTCAAATGATCAACAAGAAGATTGCATTGTTGAAACCTCACATGAACTTTCCTTCAGAAATAGGGAATATTCATCCGAATATCTGGTCACTGATACAGAGGAGAATGTGGATAATGAGAGGCATTCATCTGAACCTCTGGTTACTGATATACAAGAGAATGTGGATAATGGGGATGCAGACAAGCCAGAAACTCTCTTTGATCTGTTTCAAAAGACATGATTTTTTCTCATGCAAGCAAAGTATTTATTCTGTACAATATACACCTACCAGTCCATACTCGGACACTAGCCGCGGAGCACTTCCTGCATGGGGTAAACCATTTTTAGATGAGTATTTATTGCAGTCTTTGCTATCTGGCAATGGAGACCAGTTCATAGATTAGGCATCTATTTTGTAACTCAGAAAATGAACATATATTGAGCTGTAAAGAAACAGTTTTGATGAATATACGCCTAATTTTACATGGAAATTAATTAGTTCAGTTGGTAGTGTTGGACCTTTAAGGGGCTTTTGTTGTACGCCCGTAAAGAGTAGCAGAGCAAGTATTATAGCCCGTTTGGCCAAACTGCAAAAACCAGCTTATTTTGAGAAGTGCTTTTTTTTAAAAGTGTTTTTCTCAAAAGTACTCTTGGTGAGAAGCAGTTTGTGTTTGGCTAATTAGTTCGAAAAGTACTTCTGAGCAGCAATTAGTGTTTGGCTAAGCTTTAAAAAACTGCTTCTAAATGTATTTTTCTCAAAAGTACATTCTCAAAAAAGTGCTTTTGAAGAGAAGCTATTTTTTTCTGCTTCTCCAAAACTGCTTCTACTTCTACTCAAAAGCATTTTTTTTCCTTCCAGAAGCTTGGCCAAACACCTCAATTTTTGGCCAAAAGTGCTTTTGGCCAAAAAAAAAAATCACTTTTGGCCAAACAGGCTATTAGTACATAACAAAAATGCCTTCCTACGCAACAACTGTGACCTCTCGTGAGAATCAATGGTTGCATCAAAGTAGAGGCGAAGCCATGATTTCAAGCTTATGGGTTCCGGGTTCTAATCGTTTTAAGTTATTAGGTTATAAATTAATAATTTTTACATTTTCACAGGACTTTTTAAGACAAATATAGAGTCTAAACCAAAGCTATTGGGTTTGTATTCTAGAATTTTTACATATTTGACAGACTTTAAGACAAATATAGAGTTCAAACCAAAGCTATTGGGTTCGGCCGAACCGCTTCCCCACTCTACCTCCACCCCTGCATCAAAGATGTAGGGCTTGCACATCAAAGACCTCTTAACTTTCTAATCGTAAATAGCCCTAGGTCTATATAACAAAGTATTATGTTGGACCTTAATAGAGTTACTAATGGTAATTTTCTAATCTTGCAAATTGTGATAAGATAGACTCTACTATCTCTTGGATTACATGTGCCATCTTTCAACTAGACTGGTCCGTACTTGTTTTATTGGTGTACAAATTTGAGAAAAGTTAAATATACATGAAAATTAACACATCTAAAAGCGGGGAATAAGGAGATGAAAGTTGATATACTAAGCAAATCAAAGTCATTGACTAGAAGTTGCAACATAGCATCTTTTATGCGAACAAAAGAGTTACATATGAAAATAAATGCTCATCAAACTTTTTTAAAATAATGAGATTGAGGGGTTTAGGCAGTGAGCTCCTCCTCCTTGTGAGTCTCAATAGTAACATCAGACTGGGGGTAAGCAACACAGGTTAGAACAAATCCATCAGCCATTTGGTCATCATCAAGAAAGTTTCCATCAGACTGATCAACATTTCCAGCTGTAACTTTTCCAGCACAAGAAGAGCAAGAACCAGCTCTGCATGAGTAAGGAAGATCATGTCCCATTTCCTCAGCTTGATCAAGAATGTAAACATCATCCGGACAATCAAACTCAACAGCTCCCTCTGGTGTAATAAGCTTCACTTTGTAACTGGCCATGCAAGTAATCCTACCACCCCTCTGAGATTTAAGACCAAAGAGAGCTTGCCCAACATTTGGTATGGCTTTCAGGCTAGTCACTACTGGTTTCCTTGGGAGGAAAGAGGTGCTAACCATGGTACCTGAAATACTGGCCATTTTTACAAAAATTTTCTTTGCTTTGCTTTGCTCTGCTCTCACTTGAGATGTGAGGATATATAAGAAGAGGGGCTTGTGGAAATAGTGAGTGGTTTATCTTCCACGTGTCAATAGGGTATGGCTAGCTTTATCAGTTTATCAACTTAGCAGGATTCACCAGTTATCGTGTGAATGTGAATGTCACTGCTTTAATATCAGCCTTTCATTCTCACAAGGCTTGTGGCTTTAATTTGTCCTGTCAACCACAATTTAAACGGAAGCATCAAGGGAGTTATATATCTGGATATTGGATAGTTTAACCTATTTTTCTTAGTATCTAAATATGTATATTTATATTCATTTACTTTAACAAATATTACATTCAAATAAAATAATAATTACAAAATTAGAAAAAAAATTAAAATAGTATTGTAAATCCATATTATCCATAACCCGTTTTTTATCCGTCCCAAATACGGGACGCGTCGGATAATTTATTCGTTTTTTTGAATCACCAATTTTCTACCCGCTCATATCCGACCCGCCCCGTACGTTTGCCACGGTTGTAACCAAGGTGGTGGTTAGTGATAGTTGTGGTTGGTGAAGGTTGTCTGTGGGGACAGTTGTGCAGTGATGGCTGATGGTGATTGTGCAATGATGACCAAAACTACTTGTTGTCAACTAGTGGAAGTGGTGGTGGCACAGTGATAGCTAGTGGTGGACTGGTGGTGGTTGGCATTAGAGATGGTTAGTGGTTGTTGTACGGTGGAGGTTAATGGTGATAGTTGCCAGTGGCTGGCGATGTAGGTGGGTGCGCAATGGTCGTCAATAGAGTGATGGTAAAAGTTACATTCACATAATCTTTTCGTGAACGTCTTAATAGTTTTGAGAATGTACAAAAAAAATTGAATCAGACTTTGTTCAGAGCAAATAAGTGTTTGTACAAAAATGCATTTAAATAAATCGAGATATGAATAACTCATACCCAAACCTACATATCTTAAGTGAACAAACAGTGGTGGGGAATGACAAGAATTTTCTGCTGCAGAAAAGGGCTAAAGAATTCAACGTTTGCCCATGGTAAGTATTATAGCCAGCAGCGTGGTCGCGAGTCTTTCTCATGAGCATGCTTTATTGGTATGTTAACTTCATTTTTATATTACATAGATAACAACGAAAGAGATATTAAAATAAAATTTAAAGAAACATCACAGTAAAATATAAAACATAAATAATGATATTTAATTCTTAAATAATGCTATTAGTCAACTGGTGAAAAACGTTAAAAAATGATCCACACTTGGTAAGAATAGGACAGTAGTAGCATTTTGTCACCAAAACCTTTTTTAGACAGGAGAGACCAATTTTAACTTTAACACTTAACTGATCGAGTACTAAATTACACGCTCAACAATCACATCAAAGTCCTTTCGTTTCTAAAAATAAACAAAAGAAATCCGTAATGGATGGTAAAGTTGTGTCCATACGCTACACACACACACAGAGAAGATCTCATGTTTGAGTTGCCTTTGCTCAAGTCACAGCTAAAATTAATGTGTGTGACCTAAGTCTCAGTAGTGATCGATCACCTGACCACGAACGTTACACAGATTTTGCTAGCCTTATTGAGAAACAGCACGAAAAGAACAAATTTGCCTGGCGAAACCAAGGAAAGCAAACAAAAAAAAAGGGGTCTGCATAGCAAATTAACAATGTAGCAAAGCTTGATTAAACAAGCAGCTTCACATCAATTATGCAGAAGTTCCTGAAAAGCTACAATCCTTTTTGAGCATCTGACATCCAATTAAATAGAGAAGATGGAAAATTCGGTTCGTGCTTCAAAAAATGCAATGTATATATCCAAACATGGTCCTAACTTGTTCATCAATCAGATAAACTGACCTGAGTCTCATTCCTTGGCAATAATCAACAAATATCAAGGGTCAGTGCTTAAGAGTGTCCAAAATAACTATATATCACTGTCTGAAACCCTTACCAAACTAGCCTGGAATCCCTTAAACTCTCTAATCTTTCTAATTTAAGTACAAAGGGAAAAAGAATCTCTTACAGCCCAAAGAAGAGGGAAAATCTTCAGGACTCCAACGATTCCTGGCAGAGGCACCAACCATCCCCCACGAAGATACATGATTCTTGAGGCTCTTCTTGACCTTATAGCCAAGTGACCAGGTGAATAAAGGGCATTGTCTGTCCTACTCTCCTTTGGAAGAAAATTAGTCACATTTGATGTTTCTGTAAATCCTCCTCACAAATAGATTAGAGCCCAAAAATCCAACAGCACCTGAGCATAGTTGACAAAATCACATGGTTGATTAGGTCAACATAAAACAAAATGAAGAACCACAATAACTGTGTTCTCCTACAAGCAACATACAGAAAACATACAGAGACAGACTTATATGCACCCGTGTTCAAAGCAACGAGACAGGAACAAAACTAAAGCTAACATAAATTATCACCAAGGAGAGCTCTTAGATGAAAACAAATCCTACTCAAAGCCTAAAGGCAATATCGCATAAATGGTCTAAAAAGAACTGGAGTTGATATACTCACCGCATAGAATCCCTAAGCCAAGGCAAAACATCAGTGTGTATCCAAAGTAGAAGCTGGTCTGGAAAAACCCTGACATCTTAGTCTTCACATAGTAATAATAGACCGAGTACAGGTATACATAGACAGCTGTAGATGCGGCTGAGAAAAATGAAGTCCACTGCCAATGGTAATTTTCAGCATTTAGTAGGAAATATGTTCCCACAATAGTCACGCAGATGGTAACAATAATGAGGATAAGAAAGACCAGAAGCATAAATCCATAGACGTAGTACACCTGCAAAAGAATACAACGAAACAAAATAGCAATGACTTCAAAATTTGCAAAGCCCAGCACAGGTTCAATGAAAATTGCAAATGCTGTTACCTGACAAAAGGCATTACTTTATATACTATTTCTAAATTTTAAAAAGTGGCTATCTGCAAAATACAACTAATCATGGACATAAAAGGAGTACGTTGAAGTCCCTTAAGACCCACCCCCCTGCCATCGATGAAAAAAGGATGGTACCTTCCCCCTTTTCTTCGCCCTCGGGGAGGGAGGAAATGAGTTGACATAGGAGAATTTGACGAGGAGTTAAGACAAAAAAATGCGAAGAAGCACCAACAATGCGAATTCTGCATGTAAGAAAATAAACACGAGGCCAAAACGGATGTAAAATCTGCCTGTCCAGAAGTAATGCCCTTGTCATTAACAGTTAACCTATGCAATCTTTCCCAGTTATTCTCCGCAGCATTTTAATTGACATTCTCCTATAAAATGATACAGCATCCTACACACCGAGCTCAAACAAACGAATAATGTAATTTTCATCCGCATGCATATATGAACATAAATGATGACCCTCAAC